GAAATACACGTTGGGCTTGGGAAAGCCGTCATGGTGCACTCAGCCAGCCCCTGCTCCGGGAACCGGGACGGGGCCTCACCCCGCACCCACAGACTGAATGGGCAACCAAGATACTATAAGGCAGTCAAGGAAAAAATATGTTCTTCCATTTTGGGAAATAGTCGAAGCTTTTATATTCCACCAAAAATAGAAGTGGAATTCTAGAAAGCAAGACTAGCTGGGCTTATGCATGTCTGCCATTCAGACAAACCCACATAGACTATGATACTCTCATCCTTCTGGAATGTGTGCCTGGGTTTCCCTGAGGTCCTGGACCCTGGACAGAAGGGAGTCTGGGACCTGCTCTGGGCCTGCGCCAGCTCAGCCACCCGGACCCCCTCCGGGCCCTCATGTTCTCCCCGCACCCACGGCCCCACGCTGCATCCTGGCCTGGATCCACATGGAGCTCCAGTGACCCACACCCTCACTGATGAGTTCTCCCCGGCCGATACCCCCCAGGGGACAATGACAAACATGAGATTCTTCCCTGAGACTTTTTTGTCACTTGAACCTTTCCCCGAGAAGAGACTTGCTTCTCTCACGTTCTCCAGTTCCCTCCACTGCTTGCCTTGAGCAGAGTGGGGCTCCTGGAGGGATGCTGGGAGGATCACGGGACCCCCCAGGAAGCACTGGGCACACAGGCCTCAGAGGCACAGGGGGTAGGGTGATGCCAGGCCCTAGGCAGTGGTTCAGAGGCCATCTCTCTGGGGCGTTCTGCCACCCAAATAAGCCCCCTCCCTGAGCACGCACCTGTGCACGAGGCCTTATGGAGTCTTTCTAGGTCTTTGATGAGGAGAATGTGGAGCACAGGGCTTTGGCCAACCAGCTCGAGACGGCAAACAGCCCATCTGCTCAGTGAGCCAAACCCCCACGTTCCCGCACACTGTTTAGTTCAGGGGTCCTCAAACTTTTTAAACAGGGGGCCAGTTCACTGTCCCTCAGACCGTTGGAGGGCCGGACTATAGTTTAAAAAAACAACTATGAACAAATTCCTATGCACACTGCACATATCTTATTTTGAAGTAAAAAAAAACAAAACGGGAACAAATACAATATTTGTATTTGCATGTGGCCCTCGGGCCGTAGTTTGAGGACCGTTGGTTAGTTCTTATGCCAAGACTACAGTGTTACCAGTCTTGACACCTTATCCAGGGGGACTTCCCCCTGCCTGATGCTTGTCTTGCCAATCTTTCTTCTTCTTTTAAAATTTACATTTTAAAATATACGTACTTTGCTACTTGACTTACCGAAAGGTCATATGTAAATATACGTAACTTACGAAGCGTCATACGTGACCTCTGCCTGCTCAGGACTGAGGCTGTCTTCAGTAACTTTGGTCTGCAGGCTCTTCCCCAACCCAGTCCCCAACTGTCTGCCTGCTAGAGGCGGTCTCCCCCTGAAACTGCTGATCACTCCCTTACTTGTGAATGCATTATGTGTGCAGATGTCTGTATATGTGTGTGTACATATATACTAGTGCATGTGTACACACAATAAATTATATAAGTAGACATAATAATATATACATAGGTTGTAGGTGTGTGTGTGCCTACTTTCTTGTGCTTACTTTTCCTTGTTTCCAGGCTCTACAGAATGGCTTGTGTTTCAGCCAAAATTTTATTTCCAAGACTCACCTTTGTTGCCACAGTTGAGTCATTGACTGTCGGTCACCATTTCACAATGTGTACAGTGCGTGGACTTACCCCGACGCGTTTCCTCTTTCCCCGGTAAATGGGTAGTTGGATATTGGGAACACGGCCATTGCACACGGCTGCTGTCTGTCTCCTGACCACACGCGGAAGTATTTTCCCCAGGTGCGTGCTTAGGGGAGAGATCCTTGGCTAGTGAGGTACACAAATATTCAATTTTATGAGACAAGTGTTTTCCAAAGTGGTTGCAAATGAAGCCGCTCCCACTGGCAACGTTTAAGGATTCTGCTGACCCACAACCTCTCCAACACTTGATACCGTCAGTCTTTTAAATTTTACCAACCCACTACCGGGTGTAAAATAGTGGTACTGCGATCCGAACCTGCATTTCCCGTTACTGATGAGGCTGAACATCTTTTCATGTGCTTATTGGCCACTCGTGTTTCCTCTGCTGTTCCAGTCTTTTGTCCATCTTTCATTAAGTTGTTTGCCTTTAACTGGATATATACTACACTCGTGTTTCCTCTGCTGTTCCAGTCTTTTGTCCATTTTCCATTAAGTGGATATATACAGGTAGTTCTTCACATATCTTGGACACAAATCCTCTGACAGTCATATGGATTGCCAATATCTTCTCCCTATTTGTTGTGTGGATTTTTACTTTAATACATCTTATAATGAACAGATGTTCTTAAGTTTAATATGATCAAATTTATCAGTCTCACCTCATGTGGTTAGCACTTTTTGTCCCTTAAGAAATCTTCCTTCCCCAAGGTCATAAAGATACTCACCTATATTTTAAGTTTAGTCTTCCTTAGTTCATCTGGACTGAGTCCTGAGCAGGGTATAAGGTACATACCTAATTCCATTCCACTGCCACCCACCCCCCCGCTCCCGCCCACCACCAAATGGAGAAACAAGTGCTCTGCCGTCACTTACTGAAGCAGTTCCGTTCCCTACTGGTCTGCAGTGCCTCGTCTGTCATATATAGAAATATGTGTGGTCTGTTTCTGGCCTTTCTGCTGTTTCATTAGTCAGTGTGTCCATCCTTGAGCCAATAACAAATGGCTTGACTTACTACAACTAAAAGTTTGTCTTGATTTTTGCGGGTGCAAGTCCCATACCCTCTTTTTCCTTAGGAGTGTCTTGGCTCTTCTAGGCCATTTGTCTTCCTGTTATATATTTTAGAGCCAGTCAACTTGAATAAAAATTCCTGTTGGAATGTTGGTCAGAATTCCATCAACTCTATAGGTAATTTTAGGGAGAGATGACATCTGTGGCCCTGAGGCCTTCTTATCTATTCAGATACTGTGTCTCTACATTCTCCTGCTCTCAGTCATTTAAAAAAAATATTTTCTCCTTAATGATCATACACTTCTTTTGTGAGATGTATTCTTCCTAACTCATGCTTTTGTTGCTATTGTAAACAGGATCATTTTTCTAAATTACATGTTGTTTGTTGTTGATGTGCAGAAGTTGGTGTGTGTGTGTGTGTGTGTTGATTTTATACTCAGTAATCTTGCTAGATTTTTATTAAATCTAACAAATTAGCTCTAGATTATTTTTAATTTTCTGCATATGTAATCCTATTACCTGTGACTGCTTTTTTCCCCTCCCAATGTTGGTACATTTTATCCCATTGCTGTGTGGTGCTCTGTTGTTTAGGCTCCATTGCAATGCTGAACATCCTTCTTCTGTTCCCGATGTCAAGGGAATGTTCCCAGCATTTCACCACTGGTGTGGTGTTTGCTGTAGGTGTTTGTGGGCACCCTTGATCAGGTTAAGGAAGTTCCCTTCTATTCCTGGTTTCCTAAGAGCTTGTTTTTCTCAACATGAGTGGTGCTGGGTGGTCTTCAAAACTTTTTTTGCACCTGTGGATGATTACACAGGTGTTTTTTGATCTCCTGATGCAGTGATTCACACTCATAGATTTTTAAGTGTTAAAACAGAATTAGCCCTGACCGGTTTGGCTCAGTGGATAGAGCGCCGGCCTGTGGACTCAGGGGTCCCAGGTTCAATTCCGGCCAAGGGCATGTACCTTGGTTGTGGGCACATACCCAGTGGGGAGTGTGCAGGAGGCAGCTGACCGATGTTTCTCTCTCATCAATGTTTCTAACTCTCTATCCCTCTCCCTTCCTCTCTGTGAAAAATCAATAAAAATATATTTAAAAAAACAGAATTATATTCTTGGGTAAATCCAACTTGGTCCAACTTGATCATATATCCTTGTTATCATTTTATGTATTACTTGAATTTGGTTTGCTTCATGTTCTGTATAGGATTTTTTAAAAGGCTTATATAGGTTTATGAGAGTATATGTCTTTTCCCTTCGGTTATGTTAGCCTCACAATATGTGACGGGGAGTGTTCGCTCTTTCAGTCAATCCTGTCCCCAGCACTCCACAGAATTTATCAAAGTCACCATGACCTCTGCGTTGCCACATCCAATGGATTGTCTGTCCTCACTTTATTTGGATGTCTATCATTTTACTGACTTATCTTTTCTTCTTGAAACACCCCTTCCCGTTGGGCCCCTTTGCACCTTCCCTCAGGGCAGTCCCTGAGTTAAATAATACTAAATGAGGGCCAGTCAAAGATGGCCACAGGGTGGGTCATGTGTCCCTCTGCGACTTGCTTTGGGCCAAAGGGACCTTAGTAAAGAGGTTGGAAAAGCCCTGTGCACACAGCTTTGCCACCATGAGAACAACCCGGCCAGCCTGCTGATGGTGGGTGACTCATGGCCCATCCGAGGATGTCCCAGGAGTCTTCACTTTTACTTACTTGTCAACTAGTGGCCCTTTGATACTGGAGCTGGCAGCTGGCCCTCAGGCAGGGTCACGGGCTTGCTTGTTCACTGGCTGACCGCAAAGACAGGTTTTTCCTTTCCCTCAGACAGCAACCTGAAGCAGGTGACTGGCCTGTTGCAACACTTTCCCCTGTGGTTAATTTATGCTCCGGATCACTGAGCTTCTCTGTCATGTTCAAATGTCACACGACTCCTGAGTAAGAGAAGCTAACACTGACGGCATGCTGACCACGTCCCGGGCTCTACACTGGGCTCTCTACCCGTGTGTGTCTCCCCTTCGCCACCTCACACACGAGGAAACAGGCAGGGGTCCTGAGAGATGCCTAAGCCCCCTCAGTTGAGAATTGGCTGCAGCTGGACTTGATTTTGGAGTCTAGCCTGTGCCCCCCGCCGACCCCACCCGGCACCAGGCTAGCCAGGCCCTACCCACTCTCTCCATCCCCTGTAAAAACGAATAAAGGAAACCTCATTAAAATCGGGGTGGGGAAGCTCATGTATCATACTCACTGACATCTGCAGACTCCAGCAGGAAGAAGTTACCTTGTCCTTCCCGGCCATGTGTCTCGGTGGTTTGAGTGTCGACCTGTGAACCAGGAGGTCATGGTTCAATTCCCAGTCAGGGCTCATGCCTGGGTTACAGGCTTGATCCCTAGTGTGGGGCATGGAGGAGGCAGCCGATCGATGATGCTCGCTCATCACTGATGTTTCTATCCCTCTTTCCCTGAAATTAATAAAAATATATTTTTTAAAATGTAATTAAAAAAATAAAAATAAAAAAAGCACATTTGACCACAGAGGCAGGAGGAAGGTTTTCTCCTGGCCCAACAACAGCCCAGCCAATGAAAGATCACCACACTCAGCCAATGAGAAGCCACCTTGGCTGTCCTTGAATGGACTTTCGCTCATAACTGCCCCTCCCAGCTTCCTCCTTTTTCTCTATAAAGTAACACTCCCCTTCTTTGTTCTCAGGACTTGCCTATTGTGCCTGGTAATTTGCAGTCTCGAGCTGCAACACCTCTGCTATTCCCGAATAAACTCATTTTCCCTGGCAAGGTAAGTGGCAATTTTATTTTTAAGGTTGACCTCCTTGAGTTCTCCTAGTAAAGTACCAAAAAACGAACTGCTCCCCCTTATTACCCACTCCTCTGCTCTCAGGACCCGTGTTCAAGAACTCTAGTTTTCCTATTAACCTTTATGTTCCGTCTGAATAGAATTGCAGTCTTGAGTTATTCTGGTCCTCGGAAGTGCATTTCCACATATGCTCGTCGCAGGTACACGTTTCTAGGTCTAACCGTACACCATAGATGAAGGAGTAAGTCTATCGCATGCACCGTACAAAGGCTTTCAAATGCCTTTACTGTCGGAACCAACCAGGGCAATAACCACCTTCACTTTGGTCTTTTGGACTTGCCTCTGCTGTCACCGAAAGTGCTTCACTGAAACAGGGGAGCCCGCTTGTCACTGGGGGACCCGGTTTCCTAATGCACACCCAGGGCTGGTGGACCGGCCGGAATGCGTTAGAACGTCCGATCCCAGCGGGCCCTGCGGAGATCTCCGTCCGGAGCCCCCGGCCCCCGCCCAGGGCCC